AAAATAAAAATAATTAATTTGGGAAACGATCTCACTATCATGAAAGGTTTAATTGATTCACTAACCCAAAAGAAGAAGATGATGATGACAGCGGGAGGCAGGAGTCACTCTCTTCCCCTCCCTCGGAGGCCCCCGAGTCAGGAGTTGCTACCGCCGGCGCGGCCCCAGTCCCGCGTCGCCTCGGGAAGGGAAAGGCAAAAAGGAAGAGCCGCGGCAGCGCTTTGCAACAGCAGCAGCGGCACCGGAGGCTCAGGCTCAGCGGCTCCTGGTTTTGCCCCACCCTTCCCAAGGCAACGCGGGACCGGAGCCGCACTGGCGGCAGCAACTCCCGACAGCCCCAGCCGGACACCTGAGCGGAGATGTAGGGAGAAGGCAAAAGCGACGGAAGATCCTTCAGGGGAAACTGAGGGGGAGACTCACCCTTGGTCCAGATGAGCCCCCTTCCCCGCCCCTAAGGAAGCAGAGGCAGCCAGCAAGGGCAGGCAAGCCCCGCTTCACGGACTCCGTCCGTCCTCACTCCCACCCACCCACCCACCCAAAGCCACGAAGTCCCCCAATCGCGCAGCCCAGAATCGCCCTCCCCTCAGGGGGCAGCAACGACGCCTGGTTTTTCCCGAGACAAGAAGCTCCGCCGTGCAATGAAAGCGCCCTGGCTCTAGGCTCGCGGGCTCAGAAAACAACGCGAGCCGAGGTCGCTTCGGCTCCGCTCGGCTTCTCCAACATCCGGCACCGCCCTGTTCTATGTGCCGGGCCCGGCAAGTCCGAGCAGCCAGCGCGTGGAGCAGAGCGGCGCCGGAGATCGTTGGCTGCCTCTTTCGCAGCACGGGAGGCCTCCCCCGGCTGGCCAGCTGCTCTCCTCCTTCTCTGCCTGGGCAGGCTTCTTGTGCTGCAAAAGAGGCGGCTAATGATCCCCGGCTCTGCTCGGCTTCTCCAACATCCGGCATCGCCCTGTTCTATGTGCCGGGCCTGGCAAGTCCGAGCAGCCAGCGCGTGGAGCAGGGCAGCGCCGGAGATCGTTGGCTGCCTCTTTCGCAGCACGGGAGGCCTCCCCCGGCTGGCCAGCTGCTCTCCTCCTTCTCGGCCTGTTTGTTCTGTGTGGCCGAGGAGGAGGAGACCGGCCGGCTGGTTGGGGGAGGCTTTCTGCGCCGAGGGAGGCGGCTGCTGGTGTCCGGCTTTGCTCCGCTTCTCCAATGGTCCCTGTTCTTTACTTGGGCAGCCGGGCGCCCGCAACGGCGCCCACGGCGGCAACAGGCAGTTCCGCCCGGGCTCCGCTCAGGTGTCCGGCTGGGGCTGTCGGGAGTTGCTGCCGCCGGTGCAGCCCCAGTCCCGCGTCGCCTCAGGAAGGGAAAGGCAAAAAGCGCTTCGTGGCTTTGGGTGGGAGCAAGGACGGACAGAGTCCGTGAAGTGGGGCTTGCCTGCCCTTGCTGGCTGCCTCTGCTTCCTTAGGGGCGGGGAAGGGGGCTCATCTGGACCAAGGGTGAGTCTCCCCCTGTTTCCCCTGAAGGATCTTCCGTCGCTTTTGCCTTCTCCCTACATCTTCCCTCTGTTAAAATTCCCCCCCCCACACACACACACACTTATTTTCGGGCGGATAGATTTCGTGTCTGAGCATTCTCACATGACGGTGGGTCTTTCCCCCCCCCCCCTAAAAACAGTTAAAAAAAGAAAAAACAATATATCCTCATGCAAGAACTTTTCTGCTTCCAATTACCCCCATGCTTAAAAGTTGCAAAGGAAACACGGAAGCAGGGAAGCGCCTGCCCAGCTCCGGAGCTCCACACCATTTTTTTTCAGAGGGGAATCTGACTCGAGTATAAGCCGAGGGGGGGGTTTTCAGCACAAAAAAATGGGCTGAAAAACTCGGCTTATACTCGAGTATATACGGTAAGTGAAATACAAGGTGTCCCGAGGAAAAGAAAAAAAGAAAATAAGACCAAGAATAAATCCTCTAAAGAAGATACAAATAAGATGGATGGATGAAATAATATACTATACTATTGGACCTCACATTTATTTCCAAACATTTCATATCTGCCAGAGAGGATCTGCCAATTGCTTTGATTGGTCAGCAAAGAAGGGAATGTATTCCACTGGCAGAAAGCAGATAAATGCATAAGAACTTCTGATGGATGACAAACCAAGTTACTAAGATTTAGAGTTCAAGTTCCGATCTAAATATGATATTTTGGGACAGCCACATTTTTATCCCCCATAGGGAAAAAAGTAGGGAGGACATAGCTTTTGGAATGCTCAGAGGTAGAGATATAAATGCAATAAATAAATAAATTGCAAGCATAGATCAAGAAGCCAATAGGATATAAAATTGCAGGTGATTAACTAGTTATAGGCTAATTAGTATAAACTCATTTAGTACCATAAAGAGGAATGATTCAAAATTGCCAGAAAATATGAACTTAAGTTTTCATTAAACCTCCAATAAAGAAAGAAGCAGCGTAACAAAGCAGACAAACAATCCTAATTAAAAAACATACAGGATACCACAACATACCATTATTCACATGAATGGGGAAATGTCCTATGAAAGAAAAAAACAATTAGACTATCAGATAATTTTTTAAAAGGGAAAAGGAAAAACAACTATTACTTTTCAAGTCAGTCACACAAGATGTATGCTCAAGTACTTATTAATATATTCTGCAATACTGATAACTTACTTCTGTCTCAAAGTTAAAATTATTTAATTTTCCAGGCAAATACAGTATGGCAGAAGATCAAACTATAAGAGTTTATTTTTTTCTTCAGTTTCATATTCCCATGTTTATTTGTTTGTTTCATCTAAATCTCTGTTAGAAAGAAGTTTTTAATTACCTAGTAAGATCTGGCCAAAACATATTTGATATAAAAAGCTTTGTCACTAAAAACTAAAAAAGTACCCTTATTATTGTACTTTTCTAGTTAATTCTATAGCTTCTAAGAAATAGATAATCACTAAACCCAAATTACTCCATGGCTTGATACCTGAGGAAAAGAAACAGCAACACAAACAATTATAGCTTTCTGAATTTACTATTAGTTACATTACCTTCTTCCACGTCCTGAATAACCTGGGAGCCATTGCTAGATGACATCAGCATCCTAGACAGAATAGGATGGGCCTTGCTTAATGAAAACCATCTGTATCAAAAGGAAAATACAGAATTGTTAATAATGCCAGCATAGCATTAGATTCCTTAATCCTAGATTTAAGGTCAATACAATGAATGGAACTATCTTTCTCTATTTTAATGTCCTCCAGAAATGTTGAGATTACAGCCCCAATATTCTTATCCAGAGTCACCTTTAGAATACCTTAAACTGGCAATGTGCAAAATAAGTTGCCATAAAACAGATGTGAATTGTGTCTGCTTGCTACTTTGAGTTATTTATAAAAATAATAAAGGTGATATATCAATAGAAAACAAACATCGTATACAATGGCATAACAGTTTCAAAAGAGTGATCATCATCACACTTATACAAATCCCATAACCTATTTAATCTACATCTGCATATAATCATATGTGCAAAGAATTTGCTTTCCAATGATTGAGGGGGAAAATATGTCAAAAGCTATCCAGACAAAAATAATTATCAAACATATCAAAATCCACTGTTTTCATTTGCACATGGAGAAAGAAATGAGACAAGACAACATACTGCACAGGACTATAAATCCCTAGCTTCATATGACACATGCTTGGAATTCATAAGAATCTTTGCATTAAGAGAAAGTTTCCAGAGTACTCCTAGGAATTGGTCCACTACTCTTTCCAGAATTATAAATAAGCCTGTTCTGAGATTTCATCTGACATTAAATTTCATTCCAGTATTTGAGATTGTTAGCCCAGAGCAATTGAGATAGCTGAATAGGGTATAAGCTTTGACTATTTATTTCCACTTAGCCATTTTGTAGCTATTTCCCACTATTGGATTAAATCTTAGCCTATCTTCCTTGAGTTGGCCAAAAATATTGCCATTCCAAATTTGTCCAACTTATTTCCTCCATTTTGGGCCTGGCTTTATGCCAAACGCTGTTATCCTCATTAGTCAGAGTGCTTCTATAATCCTCCATTGGCCTCTCTTTCACTCTGATGTTGTTGTCATCCATCTTTTTTATCAGCCCTGTAGCTTGAGAAAAATAAGTAAAAATCAGGATTCTATAACAAGGAAAACTAGAGCTGGTTTATTTACTCTGATCCCATGTCAGTCTTTAAATAAACCCATTTCTGCCTTCTATTCCTCTCTCTTCTTCCTAAGGTTACTTTTTAAAAATTACAGTATGAGATATTTTTTACAGAGTCTTTAGTTGAAAGTTGAAACTTGCTAAATTGCAACAAAGAAAACTATTAAAATTTACAAAGATGCTTGGGCATTTTTAAACATTTCTCAAAGCCTGTCCCTACATTAATCACTTTGTAAAATCATCATTTTTAGAATGTATTATATTGGGCAGTTATGCTTTTATGATCCCTGATGAGTCAATAAGATATTATATTATGTTGATATATATTCTAAATATCTTAATAGTTAGATAAAAATTAAACAGAATGAAAGTATAATCCTAACTGAGAAGGCAATAATCAGAAGAAAAATAACAGCAGTGGGGGTTGAACAATGACCAAAAGCATTGTGGCATGATTAATCTTCTAAATACATCTGACATTTATATCAACACCAGAGGCTGGTCACTCCAATACTGTTAAAAAAGGATGCAAGCTAGCAAATATTAATACACTCTGTTGTCTACAATAGGACTCTTCTGAAGTGTCAGGACGGTAGGGTAGGGTAGGGTAGGGTAGGGTAGAAGAGAAGAGAAGAGAAGAATGATGAAAGCAAACTGGTTCCATATTGAGTTGAGATCTGATTAGAGCTATTTCTGTGTGGTCAAAGTGGGGCACTGGAATTTAGGATGTGATATTAAATTACAAAGGACCTGTATCTTGTCTGAAATACATCGTTCCTACTTTCTGCTACCCAGGGGCTTGTACCTCTTTGACCATGTCCCAATGTACAACGAAAGGAAAATTTGCAACTCATCTCCAAATATGGAAAAATGTTTCTAAATATCTCAGAACGCACTAACCTTAAGAAACAAACCGTGCTATTCCAAAATAAACCAACTGCACTGCAGTTTAGCATAAACTCTGATTCACACAATACACTAAGACTTTATGTGACTATTTGGTATTGTCTTAACCACGGTGGATTGTAAATGGGTTTACGGAATTATATCGGATTTCACAAAAACTGTAAAACCTCCTACAACTGAAGGAAGCAAGATTGGGGGAGACGACATTGCAGAGTACGATCTTCATGTGCGGAAGGAGCTGCAATAAATCTAATTTTCTAGAATACAGCGAATCCGATAAGGTAGGCGAAAAGTAAGCGCAGATCCAAAACAACAACGTTCAATATTCTTCCGGTGGCCTTTCTCCAACCAGAGTTTTTCTCACACTGTGCAAATCGAAAGGCTCTAGGCCCACTGAGCGGCTTTGCCGTTAGGAAACGATTGGTTTTGCGATCCGAGTGTACAAAGAAAATCGCCGCCTTAAATCGCCTATAGCACTCGACTAACCTAACGGAAGCGTGTTCTGCTCCCGACTCGTTACTCTCTTTTTTTCGTTCTGGCCTCACCTAGCTTGTTGTAAAGGCAGAATCGGGGAATAGTGCTGAAGTTGCTATAAATCACTTACCTGCGGGATAGCATTTTGCTCCGGAGATCGCTAAAAGGCCTGGTTTTGGCGAAACCCCTGCTTTGGCCTCTCTACTGGAGCCGCAGTGTAAGTTACGAGTGGCGTCTGTCAACGACCACGCCTGGAAACAGGAACTTGGCTGTGCCGGCTAGATTGGCTCAGACTTTCCCATTCTTCAGCAAGGCTTCCTGCTCTTCCCTCCTAAGATAAGAGCAGGTAACCGCGCTCGGTTCTTACTTCAATTTAGAACTCCAGCTCTTGATTTCATTGGCCAATTGCCTAATAATCGTTGATCAAGTGAGGAATCACTACCTTTGGGGGGCGGAGGAGCTGTCGTTTCTGATTACTGGGTTCGGTTTACTTTTTGCCCACCACTAGTCTTAAAATCTCCCCTCTCTCTCTCTAACCACCAAGTAGGTAAAGTGAAGCTAGAAGTAAGTTAGGGGGAGGAAGAAAAAAAAAAGTTCCATGAGACTTAAGAACAATGTAAGCAATCTAATACAAAAGATAGAAAAGAAAGAGATTGGAAGAGCAGGAGAGGTTTTTTGTTTCATTCCCAAACTTGTGGGAGCTACTGGAAGATCAGAGAAATCTCAGAAAGATTCAAGGAGACACATCAAGGGGTACCTACAACACTGACAAAAAGGACACCAAAAGGAGAGTCCTACACTCACCCTATGTCCAGCAGTGAGCAAACCAAGAAGAATTTCAAGTGCTGGCACATGGCCAAGCAGTGGCCAAAGAGAAGAACTTCTACCAAAGCCTTGGGGAGAACTAGAGAGGCTAGGGGTTAAAATTGGTTCTCCATCAATAGGGACCATGAGTGAAAGTTGTCATAGCAGGAGTAATGAGAAAGTCCAAAAAGAAACTGAGAGGAGTTAACAGCAACAATGGCTTTAATTGATCCTCAAGTGAGTCCAACACTTGAAATCAGGTGACAGCAACAAATGGGAATGTCAGCCTCAAGATATTTTCCACATCTTATATTTTCTGCATCCTAACTATTGCATCTTCTCTGCTGCTATGCTATACTATTTCTTTCGGCTGTCATTAGCAACGGGGGGGGGGGGGGGAACTTGGAGGGGAAGAAAGCTGGAGGTGTTTTGCATTCCTTTGCTGTGGGTAGCAAGGGGAGGGGGTATATGAATTCTTGTCTTTAACTTTCCATTTCTTGGCTAGCTTCTATCCCCTTTTGCGCAGCTGCGAAGTTTTATCAAAATATGTCAAGGTCAACGGACAGAGGCCTCATCACCACCTGAAGATGGCCACATGATCATATTCAGAACTTTTAATTGGAAGAGTCATTTGGACTTTGGGGGATGGGAACAATTCCATTCCTTTGTATATGTGATCTGCGCGCCAATTCCTCAGATTCGGAATTAAATCTGTAGCTTCCACTTTGATTTCCAGTAAAAGGATAACTTTGCTCTAACCCATGGAGTCTGATTATTTCTTTCTTGGATTTTGAAGGGAGCACAACCTGACGGGTGGATATAGATATAGTGATCTACATCTGAAGGACTTTTGCTGCCAAGGGAATCAATAGTTGTATTAAAGTATTTAATAGGTGCTACCATCACAGCTACATGGTAATTTATGTAAAATTGTTGTGTACGGGTATCAACCTCCTGGACAGTTCTGTCAGAAGCAGCACAGTCAATAATACAAATTAAAGTTAGATAAATTAATTAAAATTAAGGCTGTAACCCTGACTGGATTGATAGTTTCCTATCTAGGCTGTTGGTTTGAGCTCCAAGTATAAAAAATTGGTTGCAAATGTTTCATTGCCATTCAAGAAGACATCATCGGTACATTTTGAACTGTGCTGATCTTTCAGAACACAGCTCTTTAAATACCTTTTTATAACATGCAAATTAGTCTGAATGTTGTTTCTTCGGATATTTCTGAGACATGGTCTGATTTAAAACTGTTTGATTGGCTGTCTGTTGTTGCTGGGCTGTAGTTAAGTACCATCTGTGTGATGCAGATAAGGATTAGAGTTGTTTTATGGGTGCTTCTGAGTCATGGTCTGGTTTCAGCTTGTTTGGTGAAGCTAGGCAGAATCACATTCTATACCTGTACAATCAGCACAGCCCCCCACCCAAAGCTGTGTGCTTTCTCTACTTCTCTTCTCCCTATATACCAATGACTGCATCTCAAAAGATCCATCTGTTAAAATACTGAAGTTTGCTAATGACACAACAATGATGAATCTGCATACAGACAGGAGGTTATACAACTTGCCTCATGGTATAACCGGAACAACCTGGAACTGAACACACTCAAAACTGTAGAAATGGTGGTAGACTTTAGAAGAAACCCTCCCATACTACCACCTCTTACAATACTAGACAACACTGTATCAAGAGTAGAGACCTTCAAATTTCTAGGTTCTATCATATCTTATGACTTAAAATGGACACCTAACATCAAAAACATCATCAAAAAAGCACAACAAAGAATGTTCTTTCTGCGCAAACTCAGAAAGCTCAAACAGCCCAAAGAGCTGCTGATTCAGTTCTACAGAGGTATTATTGAGTCTGTCATCTGCACCTCTATAACTGTCTGGTTTGGCTCTGCAACCAAACAAGACAGACACAGACTTCAATGGATAATTAGAACCGCAGAAAAAATAATTGCTACCAATCTGCCTTCCATTGAGGACATGTATACTACACGAGTCAAAAAGAGGACTGTGAAAATATCTACAGACCCCTCACATCCTGGACATAAATTGTTTCACTTCTACCCTCAAAATGACACTATAACCCACACTGGCACACCATAACAACTAGACCCAAGGACAGTTTCCCCCCTGAATGCCATCACTCTGCTAAACAAATAATTCTACAACATTGTCAAATTGTTTACTAAGACTGTATTACTATTACTCTTCTCATCCTTCCTAGTACCTATCTCTTCCATGTATGACTATAACTGTGTTGTTTGTACCTTTACAATTTATATTGTTTTATTTCTTTCCTAACATGATTTGATTGCTTATTAGTAACCTATGTCTATCACTAAGTGTTGTATCTTATGATTCTTGATGAATATATTTCATTTTTTCTTTATGTATATTGAGAGCATATGCACCAAAGACAAATTCCTGTGTGTCCAATCACACTTGGCCAATAAAGAATTCTATTCTATTCTATTCTGTTCTGTTCTGTTCTGTTCTATTCTATTCTATTCTATTCTATTCTATTCTAATTTCTATTCTAGTTGCTCTGCACGTGGTGGTGATGGTAAGGTTAGTGAAGGGATGTGGCTGTCCTGGGTGGTGGGGGTGGTAGGGGTGAGGGTTTGGCCTGGCTGGCCTGGCTGAAGGGCCCTCACGTAAGCTGGGTCTTCCACCCCCTCACCTCAATTCGATCTTCATTCTTCACCATTTATTCTCCTTGCTCACCGCTGTAACCTAGCAGGAGGCTGAGCAACGTACTGGTGCGGTGGCCACAAAGTGAGGTGTTGGTGGGTGGAGTATGAAGCAAGGCGGGGGTGTGTGGAACAACCTGGCCAAGGAGAGTGAGCACTGCAGCAGTGGGAGCTGGCCACACCCACCACGGCCACACCTGCCATGGCCATGGTCACCATGGACCCCCCCAAAGTCAACCACAATCCTGATGCACCCTTGTTATAGAGAGTAACTGAATTAAAATAACATGGTTGTTGGTGTTTTCTATTGCCCGTCCACCAAAGGATCAACTGTCCTTGATTTGATGTTATCCCATAAATAAGATTTAATTGTAAAGATAAAGAACTTAGAATATTAGAAGACAATGAACGTGTAACTCTAGAGCTCTTCATTTTAAGAAAAATTAAAGCTAAGTGTAGTGCAACAGGTGTCTAGAACAGTTGTGATGAGCCTATGACACATGTGTCAAAGATAACACCAGTGTTCACCAATTCCTGACAATTCTCTCAAAACACATCATGCACTCACACGACTTTTGGTTCCTGCTGAGGCTATATGAGAATTGGGTTTCTCTTGCCTTCAGACCCTGCAGAAATCACTTAAGTGAGCCATGCTCTCACAGGGCCTCTGGAACCAACAAAATGAGTTTTATTCATATTTCATTTTTATAATTATTTGGCATTTCTTTATATAATATATAATTGGAGTGTATTTGCTAATACATAAAGAATACATAAAGAGTTGTTTAATGTATGTTTAGTGTAATGAAAAGAAGGACTAGGGCTGACATAATATCAGTGTTCCAATATCTAAGGGGATGCACAAAGAAGAGGGGATCAACCTATTCTCCAAAGCAGGGGTCTCCAACCTTGGCAACTTTAAGACTTGTGGACTTCAACTCCCAGAGTTCCCTCTCCCTCTGTATCTCTTTCTATCTCTTTCTCTATCTCTCATCTCTCTGTCTGTATCTCTCTCATCTCTGTCTTTCATCTCTTTCTCCATCTCTTTTTTTTTTAAAAACAAATTTTATTAATTTTAAAGACAAACAAACCATCATTAACCATTAAATACATGAACCTCTTTCCATTATAAATTTTACAAGTCAAATAAAACATTATTTTATACAATATAATTCTATTTTAGACCATTTCCATATGAGCATACAAATATCTCTTATCCAATTTCTCTTTATTACTCTTTACTCTTATCCAATTTCACTATTATTATTTTTCTCTATATTTATCCAATTTATAATTATCATCTATTTCTCTCTGACTTGGTTACCATTATTCTCATTCTATATTCCTGCAAGGTTTTATTAATTCTCCCACATAAACACACAAAACACAAAAATATAAGAGATCTTTTAGGAAAGTAACTTGGCCCCAGAAACCTCTCTCTACATGGACTTCAATTATATTCATGCTCATCTTACATGCCATTACCTATTTTATTTACCATTATTTACTTTATTATTTACCTATTTTATTTACCATTATTTACTTCTAAATTAGCTTCTCCACACATTTCACTCTTCTTAATTCTATCTTATTTAATTCATTTTAATTTAAATCATTATATTTGTATCTTTTGTCCATTCTTTATTATCCATTTGTCTCATTCCCTATAGTAAAAAGAAAAAAGAGTTTCTC